GCCCACGACGGCGGCGAGCGCGCTGCCCCTCAGCAGGACCTCCGACTCACCCTGCGCGTTCTGGTCGTGCGCGATCTGGATGCAAGCGCGGATGAGCATGCCGATGTGCTTGTTCCAACTAATTCACTTCTGGCAACTCGCTGAAATTGAGCAGCTCGGGGGGGATCTCAACCGGCACCGCTGCCCCGCCAGCGCCGGCCAGAGCTGAAGCGTCAGCCCCAGCGGCGACAGAGCCATCTCCTGCCGCTGCAGGCGCGCCCCCAGCGGGCGGCGCCTCGATCTATCTCAATGACCTCACCCATGCGCGCGGAGATCGAGTCGCGAGCAAGAACGCCCGCCACCTCCAGCATAGACTGGATGGCGCCCCCACGGTGGCAAGCGAACACGGCGGCGTGCACCAGTTCCTCGATGAGCACGACGTCCAAGAAAACCGTCTCCTTCAGTCATGCCTGCCACGCGGTATCGACCTGATGCCCTGGGTAACCGCTGAAACGAGCTCTCACCGATTCAAAACTCCCCATCCGGTCTTGGCATCCCTTGACATGCTCGATCGGGGACCCAGCGCGCGCGAGCCATTTGTACAGGAGCTCGTTCTTCGCGTCAAACTTCATCTCGACGCACTGTTTGTAGTCCCTGAGCTCGTTGACACCGAACTGGCCCAAGTCGACGAACTCCCGGCGGCCCTGATCCCCCCCCCGCCCACCGCCGGCGACCGCCCGCCCGCCGAAGTCAAGACGACGGGTTGACACAATCAGCGATGGCGTTCAGAACCACCGCCCCCGGCCCACGCGCCAATGTGCCGCGACACCCCCCATCGCCCAACCGATATTGCTGGGCGTCGATGCGCGCTCGACCGCGGCCTGCATGGCGTAGATGCTCTTCCACGGGGAAGCCCCCATCACGTTCTCCTCCGCCCATATGAGGCACCACTTGGAGGCCTCCAGGGACAACTACCGCTCGTGTGCTGCGACGACGTTAACCACAAACGTAAACTTCACATTCTCAGTAGACCGCGCGTAACGAATGTGCTTGCCGCACAGATAACTGAAGCCCTTGCTGCCCAAGGTTTCCCCCAGCCCACTCTCCTTCATCTCCTTGAACCCGAAGATGTCATACACCCATTGCCTCGCGCTGAACTGGGCTGTCTCGCCCTGCCCGATAGAAGATTGCCGAATGTTCTGCGCGCGCCGATACCCATGCTCGCCCCCCCCGCCCCCCCCCCCCCCTGCGCAACTCAAACGTCACTGGCGCCGACAGTGCGAGCTTCCTCCACCGCATTACGATGGCGTCGTCCGCGCCGCGCTTCACCGCATCGGCCACGCTGCTGAGCGGGGCCAGCCGGGTCTCGATCGGTGAGAGCCGCTGCAGACTGCCAATGTGGCTGGCGACGTCCACGGATGGGCTGTCGACGTCGGGTTCGCCCCCGCGCACTGGGTGACTTTGCCCGCCCTAGGCCTGGCCGACCCGCCGCAGTTGCCCGCGGGGTCTTTAAGGATGAACCACAAGCACTCGAGATCATTGTAAATCATGTGAGGCAAAATGGGGCTCTGTGCAGATGAGCCTTTGCCCATGTGGGCCGTTCCTCTGGGATGTCAGGTGGATGTTGCATTCGCTAAACCCCATCGCGATCAGACCTGTGCTTCTGATCACTCGCACGACCCGCGCCTCAACCCTGCCGAACCTCCGACGATGGGAATGCCACGACGCCCCTCGGGCCCTGCGGCTGATGATGTGGAACGGACGCAGGCCGAACTCAGCCGCGCACAGGATAACAAAGGGCCATCATCCATCTTCCACAGCCCTGTACAACTGGTACCCTTTTGAAACGCGGCGCAAGCATGGCCCGCCCCGAGGTGGCGCCGCGGCGGATGTGGCAGGCGGAGCGCCGCCTCCGCATCGCTGCAACACCGCCTCAGGGCGCGCCGCGAGCTTGCCCGCCAAGAACCTTCTACACGGCGTCGTCATTCCTACTCGATGTAACGTCGCCGGCGTCGACGCCGAGCACGGGCGGCACAGCGGCTGCCTCGGCGAGGAAGAGTGGCTGGACGGCCGGACGGACGTCGCGCCACCTAGCCGCAAATCTGAAGCCTAAATGGCTGGCGCGACGGAATGTGCACCTCTTCTCGCCGCCTGAAAATAATTCGTTCCCCCACGTTCGCCCGAAACACAAAGATTACGTTCGAAGTTGTCCCAAGCATTCTGTGGCGTTGGGTCCCCGTTTCGAAAAGACAGCACCCGGCGTCACATTCCTCGCTCCTCTTCCTCGCCTTCCCCCCTCCTCCCATCCCTGCCTCTGCTCGTCGCATGCACCATTATCACCATCATCATCATTGTCATAATCATCGCCATCCTCATCATCGTCGCCATCATCATCGTCATCATGACCACCTGCATCAGCAGAATCAGCATCATATGCATCATTACCACCATCGTCCGCATCATGATCATCGTCAGCGCGATTGTCATCGTCATCGTCATCGCCACCCCCATCCCAGCACACCCCTCACACGTTTCTGTCGTGACCCCTTTGGGAACTCCGCCCAAGGCCCCAATGGCCCCGTTCGCATGTGGGCGCCACCTCTTTTCGCCACACCCCGCACACGCACCGTGACCCCACAAGGAGATCCACTTAACGCCCCAGCGGCACCGTTCGCACGTGGGCTTCGCCCTTGTTTCGGTACATCCTTCACGCTCTTCGTGGCCTCATGAGAAGTTCCAACTCAGGCCCCACTTGCACCGTTCGCATGCGGGCGTCACCCTTTTTTGTGGCACACCTCGCACTCGTTTCGCGGACCCACAGGGAGCTCCAGCTAAGATGCGGTGGGCGTCACCCCGTTTCGACTCACCCCTCACGCGTTTCGTCGTGACTCTATAGCCAGCTCCACCTAAGGCCCTACCGGCGCCATTCGCATGTGGGCGCCACCACCGTTTCGGCACACCCCTCACGCGCTTCGTCGTGACCCCAAGAGAAGCTTCGGATGAGGCACCAGTGGCCGCGTTCACATGTGGGCGCCACCCCCGTTTCGGCACACCCCTCACACGCTTCGTGGCCCCATGGGGGGCCCCAGCCTAGGCCCAAGTGGCACCTTTTTCGCATGTGAGCGCCATCCTCGTTTCTCGCCGACGTTCCTTTTTTCCCGCACTCCCCGCACGCGCTTCGTCGCGGTCACGCAGGGAGCCCACCTACGGCCTCACTGGCGCAACCCGCGTTTGGGCGACACTAAAGACCGCAGGGAGCTCCACCAGGGCCCCAGCGGCACAGCCCGCATGCGTGCGTTGCCCCAGTGGGAGTCCCACGTCAGATTGTACTCACAATTGCGGCACTGACAACTGCATGGGGTTGGGTTCTTCGCCAGGCTTCCAATCTGTCGGGGGCGAGGGCTTCAGATGTGTCAGACCAGCCCGCGCACGCGGAGGTCCATTCCGAGGACTCCGCGAGCCCCGCCAGCTGTCCGTGGGAACACCACTGGTTGAATCAGCTGGTGCATTTTGCATGCCCCCCCGCCCCGCCCCTTCTCTCCAATATCCTTCCACCAGAAGTTCGAAGAGGCAGCACCCGCGGACAGACGTGATCCAAGCTCAAAAAGCCAAACGGTAAAGACCACACATTTCAGTTGTAGTATCGAACGCTGTGGTCGCAAAGGGGAAAGGTCGACCATGCATTTTGATGTCGCATAAAAATCTGATCAAACACACACATCCATATTCATACCTATAGATACACATGCGCGTGTGTATATAGGCATACATGCATGTATCCATTCATACATATATGCATGCAGAATATGGTAAGTATGCTATATGTGTTTCACAGCGTTCATTATCTTCTGAAAGTTCATCTATTGACAATGTCGCATGTTTATCAAACATAAAGTGCCGCGTGTCATACACGCGCTCACAAGGTCCGCGCGCAAGGACAGAAGGCCGAACTTGTTTTCGCCATTCAGTTTCAACGTTGGAACGCATTTGGGGCGTTGCGCGAACGCTTTCGCGGCGCCCTCCGCGAGGGCGCTCGCGTTCCAGGCGGCGCAATGCGCGCGCGCGTTCTTCCCAGGCCCGTGGACTCCGCGCGCCGAATCCAAGAACGCCCGCCTCCAACGCCCAAACGAACGAGCGCCCGACATAAAAAAAACAAAACAAAAAAAACAACAACAAAAATTGTTTAAATTCGGATGAAAAATATGAGTCGCCCTCGTGGTGGCTGCAATGGAGCGTGGAACTTACAAGTCCGCTGAATGTGGGACAGTACAGGCGAGCCAAGACGCTTCGCCACTGCTTGACAAAAGACGGCCCTCGGCCTTCCTAACTACTTCGGCACGAGAGAAAATACCGCGGGTTCGTGTCGTGTCGACCCTGGCGCTGGTTCCTGACACCGCGGGCATCGTCTTCACTTTGAACGACTGGCGGGTTCCGAAATGTCAAATCATTCCACATCGACCAATGCTGGGTCGCCCGCGGCGTTCAACGTTGAACGCTGGCGGCGGCGTCGCCGCTGGTCGACACGACACGAACGGCCTCCCGAATGGGGTCCGAGCAATTGGGGTCGAAAGATTGCACCGTATCATCGTTGCATCGGGGATGCAACGGCGACGTCGGCGATGCATCGGCGACGTCGGCGAAGAGAAGATATGGCTCCACATCGAGCCGCATCGCAGATGCATTGGCGACGCGGCGCGATCCTCCAACCCCGTCGACTCGGGCCCCTTCTGGGAGGCGTGGAGAGAAACGGCTCCCGGGCCGCAGGGCGATTCCTAAGGACCAGCTGCCGGCATGGAGCCCCGAGGGAGGCCTATTAACTGGAGGGGGCGAAAATCGGGACCATGACAGAGACTGAACGCGAAAACGTCGTGTCGACCTTGGTCACCGTCCACCTTGGTCAGCGTCAATGCGTGGATCTTCCTCGCGAATCGGCGTCGGCAAGATCCCGCAACATCTCGGTCATGGTCAGTGTGTCTTCCCCTCGGTGAAACACGGCGAGAAAACCTCGGAGCCCCGTCCCCTCACGCTGCCGCTGCGCGGCGGAGCTGGCCCTGGAGCTGGCCCACCAGCGCCTGGGGAAACCCAAAAAGCTACCGACGTCGAGACTCCCCGACCACTCCAAGGGTGCGCTCTGGTCAGAATTTTGAAACGAATGCAAGGATTGGCGGCGCGCACAAGGGGGTGGGGGGAGGGGGGAGGGCTTCTTAGAAGCAGGCTGCTTCTTAGAAGGCGTCAGCCTTACATCTATAGATAAGGCCCGCGCCTTCTAAGAAGCAGGGGTGCTTCTAAGAAGCCCCCCCCCCCCTCCCCCCACCCCCCTCTGCGCGTGGCTGAAAGGAGGAAGCGGAGGAGGAGGAGGAAGAGGAGGAGGAAGAGGAGGAGGAAAAGTGGACCGTGGCGACGAGGGCCGCCCAGGAGGTCCTCCAGGGGGAGAGCGGGGGGGTGATAGCGGTATGGGTACCTCTCCCCTCCTCTGTGAATACCTAGCAGACCACCCCAACCTAACCCGAAGATTCGAATTTCGGGTTGGGAAGGGGGTGCGGGTTCCATATGTGTTTTCTCAATGCTCCCCGATCCCCACCCGCTGGAAATCGAAGGAAAATTTGGGCCTTCGGGTTGGGTTGGGGTAGTTTGGTGGGTGGTGACTCGACGTCCTGTATTGTTGCATACAAGGTCCCTGAAAGCAAAGACCCCTTCCCCGGAACCGGCTTTCCATCCTGAGCCACTTTTGGACGGTCCCGCGGCCCGGCGAGGGCCCCGCGAGGCCGAGAACGGCTGCAAACCCGCCGCCGTGCATGCTCGTGCGCCGCGATCAATGTCTGGGGTGCCTCTCCCTCCCCTGAGCGCCATCAGCTCCCGCCGCTCGCCGCGGGCGCTCCGGCCGAGCTCGGCGACCTCCCGCCAGCCCAAGAACGGCGCGCGCGCGAGGGCCGGGCCGCCAGGCCCGCGCCGGGCGGCCGCGAGGGCCGCGGCCCCGCGCGCAGAGCAGCCCTCCCGCGCCGCGCCGCGCGCGCGGCTCTGCAGCAGCGTGAGCACCGCGGCCCTCTGACACCGGCGCATGCGCCGCCGGACCGCCAGCAGGTACCTGAGGCTCGCTGGCACTCACAGGGTCTGGAGGTGTTGTCTCGCGCGCCGCAACACTCTGCTGAGTCCTCCCTTTCCCGCCTCCTCCTCCTCCTCCTGGTCCTGGTCCTCCTCCTCCTCCTACTCCTCCTCCTCATCATCATCATCATCAGCAGCAGCAGCATCAACAGCATCGTCATCATCATCAGCAGCATCATCATCATCATCATCATCATCATCATCATCATCATCATCATCATCATCATCATCATCATCATCAGCAGCATCAGCATCAGCATCAGCATCAGCATCAATCATCATCATCATCAGCATCATCATCGTCATCATCATCAGCATCCTTATCAGCAGCATCATCATCAGCATCATCCTTCTCCTCCTCCTCCTCCTCCTCCTCCTCCTCCTCCTCCTCCTCCTCCTCCTCCTCCTCTTCCTGGTCCTGGTCCTCCTCCTCGTCCTCCTCCTCGTCCTCCTCATCCTCCTGCTCCTCCTCCGCCTCCTCCCCCTCCCCGGCCATCAGCAGGCACCTGAGAGAAGGAAAAAAATATGCCAACGCCGCTCTGCTCGTTCGAGGGCCTTCGTCGCCAAGGCGGGGATCGCCCCGAGGTCCTGGTCAGAACGCATCCCCCAGGAGAGGTCCAGGGTGTGCCCGCTAGTCGGAAGAAGTAGGTGGAAACAGGAAGCGGGAAGGCGGATCGAGTAGATTGGGCTCGGGACCGCCGATATAATAGCACAGACAACAGAATTGTTCGACGCCGAGGTCCCCATATGTGAGATTATGTGCCTGGACCTTTTGCAGTGCGAGCGTATGGGCACGAGAGTCTGGTGAGTGGGCCTGAGAAACAAAGACTGAGAGCGGGTGAGTCTGAGTGTGGGTGAGCCTGTGTGTGAGCGAGTCTGGGTTGTGAGTGACTCGATGTGTATTAGTTTGAATATGCCGAACCTTACGGTAAGCGCATATGAGTGTGACTGGCCTGAGCGTTAACGGGTAGGCCTGAGTGTGCGTGTGTGGTCTCAGCGTGAGTGGCCTGAGTGTGCTTGTGAGTCCCACCAGCCCTCTGGGCGTAGGGTCCAAGGTATTTTCCTGCTCCACCCCCTTCTTCCCCTTCGGGGAGGGGTTTATCAATGTTCCCTATTAATAAGCACCCCCTCCCCCAGGCGACTGGTAGCCAACCAGCCAGGAACCATGAGGGCCCCTCCACCACCATCCTTTGAATCCAAAAACCATAGCAAACACACTCTGACTCCAAATGCGGAGCATGCGCAGCCAACCCGATGCGGCCTCCCACCACCATCCATGCCAAAAACAATACAGAGTACACTTGGCGGCGGCGGCGGCTGCGGCGGCGGCGGCGGCAGCGGCGGCGGCGGCGGTGGCGGCGGCGGCGGCGGGGGCGGCGGCGGCGGCGCCTGCGGCGGCGGCGGCGGCGGCGGTGGCGGCGGCGGCGGCGGTGGCAGTGGCGGCAGCGGCTGCGGCGGCAGCGGCTGCGGCGGCGGCGATTTGGCAGCGGGGGCGGCGGCGGCAGCGGCGGCGGCGGCGGTGGCAAGCGGCGCGGCGGCGGCGGCGACGGCGGCGGCGACGGCGGCGGCGGCGGCGGCGGCGCGGCGGCGGCGGCGGCGGGCAACGGCGGCGGCGGCGGCTGCGGCGGTGGCGGCGGCGGCGGATTGGCCCCCAGTAGCTGCCCATCCAAAGACGACTGCTGAATATGCTGAGGCTCGGGCCAGACTCGGGTGCTACGTATGTGTTGGGAGGGCGGGTGGGAGTGAGCGAGACGGCTTGCGGGCGGGGAGGGAGTCTTGACCCCTCCCCCTACCCCCTCCCCTGGACCTGGACGGGGCGTTCCGCGAGCGGTCGGAGCGTCTAAGATGGCCCGAGTTGGCTCCAAGAGGGCCTCAGAGAGCCCAAGATGGCCTCGAAGATGGCTCAAGATAGCGCAAGATACCTCGAGATGGCCCCCAAGATGCCCCAAGAAGCCCCAAGACCGCTTCCAGACAGCTCCAAGTGGCCAAAATAGCTCCCCGAGGAGGCCCCGAGGAAATCAACATCCTTCAACAACCTAGGAAAAACAATGTTGTTGGGTTTCCCGTCTTTTCGCTTCCGATGGCCTCCCGAGGCTTCAAGATGACCTCCAACATAGCCTAAGGAGGCCCCATGAGAGGCCCAAGAGAGCCCCACGACGACCCCAAGAGCGCCCAGGAGCGCCCCAAGAGAGCTCCAAGAGGCAACTGTAGGGGCTCCCGAAGGGCAAGGCTAATTAGGGGCCCCCCCTTGTTTGATCGAGGTCCTCCCAAATCCCACCAACCCTCTGGGCGTAGGTGGTTTAGGGAGATTCCTCTTCCACTCCCCTTCTTCCCCTTCGGGGAGGGGTTTACCCTCCCCCCTACCCCCTCCGCTGGACCTGGCGGGGGCCGGTCGCGAGCGGTTAGGGCGTCCAAAGCGGCCTCGGCGAGGAAGCCAAAATCATGCGTTTAACTTGGGTTTGGGGCCTGTCCTCTTGGGGGGGCAGCGCTAATAAGGAACCCCCCTTCTTTGATCGATGTCCTTCAAGATGGCCCCAAGAAGCGCCCAGGAGGCCCCAAGAGGCCCCAAGATGGCCCCAAGATGGCCCCAAGAGGCCCCTAAGAGGCCCCCAGGAGGCCCCCAAGAGGACCTCAAGCGGCCTCAAGAGGCCCTCCCGAAGCACCCAAGACGCCCAAGAGCCCCCCAGGACCGCCAAGAGACCCTCAAGACGTCCCAAGAGGCCTCCAAGAAGCGTCCCAAGCGAAGCGTCTATAAATTTAAGTTGTCTGCCTGTATCTGAGTGTGAGCGGTCTGACTGCTAGTATGAGTCTGAGTCTTATTGAGTCTGAGTGTGATCTTCGGCTCAGCAATTCTGAGAGTGACAGAGTCTGAGTATGAGAAAGTCAGAGCGGGAGTCTGAGCGTGAGCGCGTCTGGGAATGAACGACCTGAAACGGAGAAGGCGGGAGGAAAGAAAAAGGGAGGAGGCACGTCAAAATACACGGTTTTAGCTCACGGGCGACAGGGTCCCACGTAAAAACACACAGGATTCGAGCCCCAGGAAAGCAATCCACAGGAGCATACGTGTAAAACACAATAGGATTCAGGAGAGAAGGAGCCTACAGGAACATACGTAATACACGTAGGAGCCGAGCCCCAGGAAAGGGGCAATATTTAGGAGCATGCGTGAAACAAACACCCCAGATTCGTGCCCCATGGGAGGGACAAACTACAGGAACACACGTGAAACACACAGGAAACACACAGGATTCCAGCCGCAGGAGAAACAATCCACGTAGGATTCAAGCCCCAGGAGAATGGCAATCTATAGTAACATGCGAAAGACACATAGGATTCGAGCACCAGGAGGCCCCCTGGGGCTTCCTGTGGCCTCCTGGGGCCTCCTGGGGCCTCCTGGGCCCTCCTTGGCATATTGGGCCTCTTGGGCCTCCCTGGAGTCGC